AATGCATAACTTTTGTGCCATTCTAAGCCAGCTTCACAATGTGGATAAGGGATCGGGGTTTTTTGGGCGGGAATGCGGAAAGTTTACATTGTATTCAAGAAGGAGATTATCTGAAAGACAGCATCATAAATTTCATAATATTTTTTAACTTTTATAAGACCATGTATTACCAATTACTATGGCATAATCTGTTCAAAAAGCCAAATAACCCTTCAATCTACCTTGACCTTCTTTCATCACTTAGCAAGCATATTCTAAGCTGTAGCTAACACACAGTGGTTCTCAGGCAAGACGTGCTAAATGAGGCTTAAATAACTTGTGGCCTCAAAGAATTAGTATAGTTTAAGATAAAAATAAAAAGGCAACATCTCCCAATATTAAGTTAAATTCATTTATCGGTTTTAGTGAGGCCTTGTAGACTTGTATTTTGCCACTACACTCGACCACATTACATATTCTTATGTAGGAGATGGTATCAATACCTACTCACTATGAATATAAGTTTACCTTACGGAAAAAACTAACTATAAAATATGATCTAATAGAGGCATCGCTTGCCTTGAAATTTACGTTCGCTCTGTGAGTCATTGATCCTTGAGGCATATGCTGCACTACCCAGGTTCAATTCCCTTTCGGGGTGCTGATAAGACCCAGGAGAAGTACAAACTACCGACCTTTTAGTAAGGGAGGCTATGTGAAATATAATGATATTATTAGGTCTACTTGTTTCATTATGGGAAGATTCATCAATCAGTCCTTCATCACATACAAAGTGACTACAGAATTCATTCAAGTTCCACCGTTAGCATAGAAGTCTATCAATTGTAAAAGTTTATATTATGTAACCTAAATACAATTATAATATTGGTTTGACCTCGTTTTCGCAACTTATTCGGAGCGTCAGGGAAAGCAAGGCAATGTGAAATTCAATTGAAACGTCATCTATACTCATACTATTTTGGGAAAATTCTACTACCAGTCGTTAATCACCTTAAACGAAACAGGGTGAATACCTCTCATACTACTGATTTACTGGTAGTCTCGAAACTCTACTTCAAAACGAAAATTACAAAAGAAATACGGAATAGTCTCTCAGGCGGATACGTGGGAAAGACGGAGGTAATGGACAGAAAGCACTGTACGGCGAAAATGGAAAGCATATTGAGTGATGGGAACACTCAACAAATACTAAGTAAGGATCCAGCCCTGAAGATAAACGAAATGCCTAAGGATATGCAAATAAACTGAGAAATCGCAGAATAGAGGATGAATTCTTTTATTAAAAAGGATACAATATCACGGACAGCCTATATAACACCGAAGATACAGAAATAATGAGAACCATTAATGTTAATAGTAAACAACAAGGATGGGGTAACGCAGGAGCTGGCAAAATTTATGTGGTTATAGCTAAAGAAGGTAAGTAATAGACTATCAATCACTATAAATTTTGTCAAAAGATCAAAAAAATTGGACTGGCAGGGAAATAACTATTGGTACAATCCACATGTACAAACATCTCAGACGAGAATACAGTTGGCTGTGTTGGGATCTTGATTGAAGAGGAGGATATGGAAGGATTAACAACATGACTGATCAGCATGACAAAGTGGAAACCGTACATACTTCGAAGATATGACTGCAAACTAACCAGGCAAGTCGATCTTATTAGAATTTGTGATGGTTTGCTCTTCAGATGCATGAATAATCTTCAATTTCCAGTCTCATCACAACTAAAGATTGGAGATGGGAATAATGAAGAGTTTGATCACCAGATGCTTAGGAATAATGGTAAAGAATTTTTGGGGCTAGGATTTGTACAAAGTGACTCCGATTTTTCTTTGTTAGGCGTAGCTCACAGTAATAAATGTAATAAATATAAGAGTCATAAAAAGCGAATACCAATTAGGATATTATGAAAGGAATATCGTTAATCGGGAAGACGATTAAAAGTGAATATGTCTATTCTAAGTCTAAAACTTCGATCATTGCTAAGACAATAGAATATCAAGGTGATAACAAGAGGAAAGGCAAACCTTCACCAGCCTGCCAATGAAACACGACAAAGCTGACAAATCGGATCGCTCAGAAATTTATCTCATGAGATGCGGAACTTGGTAACAGACACAGGACAATCATTCCGCGAATCAAAGAACATCAAATACTGCAAAAACATGGATACAAAAAGATACGAAGTAGCGAAACACGCTGCACGTATGGGACATGAAATCGACAGAAAGATTGGCAACATATAGTTAAGATACAAGAAAACGCAAGATTCGAGAGCCCATCGGTACCCTGAAAAGATGTAGCTTGGTGCTGAGAATGGCAAGACTCATTGATGATGTCAACTTCTGGGAATGTACCAAATCCAAATCTAGACCGAACTTACGAAAAAAAGTTCAAACAACGTCTATTCCCTGAGAAAATTTGGAGTTTTTTTGTCCTCTGGAATCCTTCAATAAGAAGCATAAACATTTTAAGTTGACTTGAATTCCCAGGCTACTTTCCAATAATGTCAGGCAAAAGATTTTAAAAATATCATTTATCTAAAAAACGTAAATTGACCTTTGCCTCTAATTTGACCTTTTGTGTTGTCATCAGTTGCCATTGATGTGAATGTCGCTAGTTTTCTTCCAGGTAGTATTTCCGCTATATCCTATTTTTCGATCTCATCCTATCAATGTCCAAAACAAATGCCAAATCTGTTCCCGGTCCGTCATACTTGTTCTAAAGATTTCATACCTCAAAGACCGACTGTCTACGACGCAACCGGTCAAGATCAATCGGTGCCAATTTTTTGGCACATAGGGATATTCACTTTGAACCTGTTCTTCGAGCCGCGTCAGCTGACACCGAAGGATTGCTCTCTGCCTTTGCCCATGGAGGGAAGTCCTCAACAGCCAGGAAAGAGGAGTCATGTAAAACTGAGGCAGCTGAGGACCAAATGCTGCGGATGGGGGAGCCAACCGTCCTTAAGGTTTGAAAGTGCCCATTTTTACCACTTTCTATTTGTGTCAGCTTTCATCACTTAAACCAGTCAACAAGTCCTTTACTTTGATAATCAGTGTGACTTTGGAAAAACTATATAGCAATTAATTATAACATGCTATATTTTGATGATAAAAATAAGTCATATTTATGGATGATTTTAATTCGTTCTTTTGTACAGAAATTGCTGGTAAATTTTAATGTGATATACAAAAGTGGATATGGGATATTGTTATGGCTTAAATACTTTTATTCCCAGATTCACATGGATATTTAAGACTGGTATGTTGATTTTATTTTTTTCTACAATTTGCTATCAATTTGACTAAGGCTGACTATAGATGTTAGACGAATAAATTTCGAAAGTATCTTTTGATTATATTTTAATTATATATCAATGTTTTCAATACATATTCTTGCCATCCATGATTGTCTGAGATTCACTTTCTTCATTATAACCTTCTCATTGTTCACATTCTAGGCGAGCTTAGGTAATGGATATGTACTAGATATTTGCTAACATTTTGATATATTAAACTTTACTTTATAGACTTAGCTTGGTCTCATTTTGCCGACTTACTCAAATTAATTTTGGGGCTTCAGTTAGCTACCTCTTACCTTGTTCTATGCCAAAGATGTAATGTCGTCTGAGAATAGAACTGTTGGCCAAGTAGCTCAGGTGATAAGAGAGCACTAAAAGAGCCATTATCAGAAAGTAGAGGCATTTAAACAATCGTATCACAATTAATCATTGAAGAGTTAAGTATATTACAATATAGTAGTTCATATGTCACTAATGACCCTAGTCTATTTTTCTCTCTTTGACTTGGTTTTAAAACTATTCTCTCCTAGTTTATCTGTGCATGAGTGTGTAAGTGCTTGCACACGCATTTAGAGGCAAAATATTGTATCCACAGGAGGTTAAAATGTCCATATTTTAGTTTAGGCGTGAAAAGCGATCAAAAATAGATTTGCTGAAGTTACTAATAGCGTAGTCCTGTGTGTTTTATTTAGTCGAATACTTTGTAGACACATTCTTGGATGGACTCACTCTGATCAAAATACTATTCTGCTTTACGCTATTTCATTCTTAATTTTGAGGGAAAATTCTGTCCACAAATATATCTGCGAGCAAATTTCATCTCTTGTTTTGTGTTGCCTGCAGACACGAATATTTAGTTATCTGAAAGCCCACTAATGAATAGTTAAGAATGCATCAGAATAGATTAAAATTGTAGGCCGATGCTGCCAAACGGGCCAACAGTTGGTTTTCTATGATTGATTGGGACTAAGGCCTACTTTTTTAGTGATTTTTATTGCAAGTATTTTTTTTTATTACTATCTTTAGGCTAATAATTTTTAAAAAAAAGCAAAATAATGCGATATATAGGGCATTGAATTTCGGGGCTTTTCATGGGCTCCAAAATTTCATACTCCATTTAATAACATGCTCCCCAGCCCATGTCACACCAGATAGGAATGAATAAAAAGTGCTGAAATGGATGAGACCAATTAAATTGTTCTTTGTTGCATAGATACGGGTTTGCAAGTGTTTATGGTTAAGTTCCTGATTGCGTTACTTTAACGCCAACTAGGGGAAATAGGCCTATTGCTTACAATGTCTTAGTTCTCTTCCTTATCCTTTGGTTGACCAAATGGATTAACACAGTTTTGAGGGTAGCTCTTGTCACATAAACTACTTTAAACTTAATAAAGATGAAAACGATTCTTATATTAATGGATGGTTGAAACTTCCATTTGTGTCAGTAACTTGATAATTGATTCAAACTATTAGAGTTCGTATATACTTGCACTTGTGTGATCGAGTCAGACATCTGTACAGTGTTAGCCTTCATATCTACGTTCTGAACACATGTATGCTTTCTCCTGGGTTATACTTATGGCTCCTCACCATGCCGGATTATAAAATATTAAATATTTATAAATACAATCTATATCAGAGTATATCTTCACAATCTGAGTTGTCCCTAAAAAAATACAAGAATGAATTGATTAAGATACTGTTCAACTGAAGAACATTGGCCTGGCCATATGAGTATGCCTCTCACAATCTGCGAATATCCCAACATATTTTCTACTTTAGATACGAAGGTAATGAAATGAATTTTCATTAAATACGTTAAGTGTCTGGCTGTTTATCCTGTAGTGAGTTAAATGTCTGACTAAAGTCCGAGTGGTATTCGCGAGCTGAAAATTTAAGAAAGTGAGGTTGCCCAACAAATGAATAGACTAATGCGTTGAAGAGCCGTAAGACAATGCCGATGACCAAGCTAAGGCAGATTAATATGAACTAAATCATTGAGTTCATATTTAAACTCTATTCTTTCGATTAGGACAGATCTGATTGCAGGAGTCAAGTGAAATAGGTGAACAAGGGTTAGATCAGACGGATTTTACCGAGCATGAGGGAGACTGGGATAAGACTAGGCAAGAGGACTGCATAATAATAATAAAGCAGACTCTGATCAAAATTCCCTGCACAAGGATGAAAGGGGGGGGCTTCAGAACAACAGTTGGAGTGTGAAGGTATCATTTCGCTCAAAGGAGCACACCACATTATCTAAATAAACACGGTAAAAATTGTATTAGTGAAGGCATGCTAGCATGATAGAGGGAAACGCGAATAACCCAGGGCAGAAGGGGAGATACCACAATTGTTTAGCACAAGTTTGGTCAAAGTATCGGCTTCACTTGTCTCTTTGACGAGTCGTTGTGTGGTGCTAAGAGTGGCGATACTCACTGACGATGCCGACTATGATGCCGGCTAAACGTTTGCGAATGTACCACGTCCACGGTCCTACTCTGGAAGTGATGATGCAGACAATGGACTCCGGACTGGGTGCGTTCCTCTAAGTCTTCCTG